CTCTGCAGTGAGATGGTGCTACTCAGACTTGGTCTATCGGGAAGCCTAACGAGAACACCAGTTTTGGTTATGTTTTGTTTAGTCATCCTAGATCCATTAACGTCCGAGTTTTAAATGAATCTGTTTTGTGTCAAGCTCAGCTTCCAAGTTAAAGTCATATTAAAACTCACTTAGACTCTTTAAAATAAAGGATACAATACACAGAGAGACCAAGCCAATAAAAATACCAAAATGAAGTGCAGAACATCAGTTCAGAAAAAGCCAATCACATTAAAATTCAGTAAGAGTTATTGCTGATTGGATGCTGTTTTGCAATTGAATGATGCTGCACAACTCTCCCAACATCTCAATAAGCTGTAAGATTGTTTCTAAATGAGCCTAAACAATCAGAAATGAAAGTTATTAACCCCATTTTAGCAGCTAGACCTTTGTCCTCCTTGTCCTGATCAGTTAACGTAGCCTTACGGCTTTCATCCAACAGCTTGACATACACATCCTGGATTCCAGTCTGCACCTTGAAAAATACTGCAGAGTTCCTGGATGTCTTTACAGTCTCCCAGCAACCAGTACTGAACTTGGGTACAGTTAATGAGGGTGTGCTGCTCTTGCTGCATCTTGTTTTCCAGAGTTAACCCCTCATATTGGGACATGACAGTCAAACCAGATATTTACATTTACTATATATAACCTTTTCCATGACATTCAGTCAGACTAAAGTTTACATGTTTTTGTCAGTTATGATTGCAAACGTTATTTCCAGTGGCAGAATCTCAGAATACTGATAATAGAATAAAGATTTTAGACACATTTTATTGTTTTTGCTTAGTTAATTATTTACACTCTCTCAGACTAGGAGACACCCTCATCCAAAAGCAACATAAAAATTTGATAACTTTTTGCGGCTGCTCTCCAGGTCAAGAACCATAATATTTAGAGACATGTCCTTAATTTAGAGTATGTGTTTTGCAACACCGAAGAAAAGAACACCAGCTTGCAAATCTGCGAATAAAATCCTAACTGTGAAGTATGGCGTGGCTGCATAACACTGCATGCATTTACAAATGCATTAGTGTCTACATAGCTATGTATTTCATTAAAAAGGAGAGAAAAAAAATGGAGAGACTATATGCAGAAGTACTGAGACAGAATCTCACAAATTTAGGCTGAAGATTAAAGCTCAGATAAAAGTGGTTCTTCCTAACAGATGAGTTTGACTTCAGTCACAGAACTGAAAAGGTAGTTCCAAGCAACCTGACCGAGTTACACTAGTTCTGTCTAAAGGCATGGGCCAAAATTACAACCAGCTACTGAAAGATTCTTATTAAAGGATACACGAAAGAAGTCATATAGTCTGAATGGCAAGTCTACAAAATTGTGAAAAAAAATAAAATGTTAGAATTAAGAAAAAATTGAGTTTTCTTTTTGTTCCAGGATTTATAACATACTAACCCTTTCGGTATTCCTAACTAGACTAAAACAACTCAATATATTTCTTTTTTACTGTATACTGTGTATGTAAATATATAATTGGACTTTTTCTTTCTTTTTTGTGGCAATAAGAATAATTGTCTTGATGCCAAAAAGAGCCCAACAGATTTTACGTTCACAAGTGGAGCAGTAGAGCTATTGCCATAGTGTTCCGCTTGTTTCATGCATATAAATTGCTTTATTATAATTATGCAGGAAGTTTTACAGATTATATGGACACTGCAATGCAAGTAGAACAGAAGAAGAAAAACAGAAAATAAGGAGAAAAGATGTAAGAGGAGATAAAAGGGGGATAATGACAAAAGATTTTCAGTCTGCTTCATCACCTGCAAAGAGATGTAATAAGGACAGCACAACCAACAGACATGGTACGAGACATACAATAAAGTAACACCTGGATTCTATTGCTGAAGTAGTATTATTTAATCTGACATGTGCTCTGTGTTATTACATGTTAGTCCAATAATTTTACTTTTTCTAATTGTACCCAAACGTATATTGTTGCTAACGTTTTTGTTGATTCTCATATATATACATCTTTTAGAAACTTTTGATCATTCAAACTAATAATGAAATTCTTTTGAACATTTTTGACAATACACATAATTTGTAGGATTTGGCCTTAATTACTTTTAGATGGATAGTCTTTCAGAAAGTTTCACTTCTTTCTTTCATTTCTCTTCAAACATTTCACTCTGGTTTTAATTATCACATGGTCTTTGAGCCTTTTTTAGTTTCTGTCTTGAACCATCTTTTTAAGCCTGGTTGTGCTACTATGAAATATTCAGTCGTTGAGGGTCTTGGATGTTTTTTGAGGACGATGTAAACCCTAAATGTATGCTCATTCCCCCAGAGTCTACAATCTAAATCCCTGTGGCTCATAGATGTGTTTAGATCAAAGATGTTATCACCATCTTAACAGCTCTTCCTGTGTCTCCATGATGTTTTTATCGTGCTGGATCTTGTAAACTCTATGGCAGACCTTTGGGAATTTCCACACATGACAAGGAAGTCGCTTTGTAAATTATTATGCAATACTTTTCTTTGAAGAAAGTTGCTCTCCTTCCGGCAAAGAAAAGACAGAACAAGCAAGGGGCGACATTAATCAGCGTTATTACATCAAGCGCTACTCTGAAAGCGTCAGACTGTCTTATTAGATACGGCCCTCCTTTTGTATTTCATAACAAGTTATATTTAGATCATGCTGGAAACGGCTGCTTAAGGCAGCAGGAACACATGAAGTGAGCTGAATGGCTCTGGAGCTTGGTTCAAAATGCTCATGGCTGCCTCAACAATCTTTAGGTTAAACTCCTATTTAGGGGGTACTCTAGACATCATGATTATTAACCCTTCATTGTTTTCTGGTCTTATGAGTAAGATTGTGTCTTCTAGTGCTCCGTTTTATTTCACTCAAGCCTTTAGATGTATTTGGGGACAGTTTCTAAAGATTTAGTTCAGACATCTCCTTGAATTAGTTCCATTATTTTATGAGGAGGCAGTGATCGTGTCCCAGTTCTTCCTTAAAACTATGGTTACTGTGAAATAATATCCCTTCTTTGGTTAAAGATGTGTTCAAAATCTGTTTTCATTTTGACTGATTTGCTGAAAAAGTAACTTTTTGTAGCCATCTTTGTGATGCTTTTCCTTTATCAGTGTTTGTTAAGATTTTAAGTGTTATTAGGATATTTTCCTGTTGGGGGACTAACCTGTGTAAAGGTTTCAATCATCCAGCTGATCTTTGGAAGGAGTCCACCATCTTCAATTATTTTATTTACTTTGATAAGATGTTTTAGAGAAATAGCCTTCAGCATGACACTGTCTAACATGCTGTATAATCATATATGTTTCTACAAATTTTAGGTTATCTCTAAATTAAGACATCCATCCTGATTATAACTGCATGAAAATTTCTAACCAGCAATCTATGTATTATCATTATATTTTAATTTTTTGGCATAAGTCACAGACTAGTGGTAGGACAATTTGAATAAGCAAAATAACATATATTTGTAATTTTTGTTCTCTCTTTGTTTTGGTAATTTTTGTTTCAAGTTTTCAGCTCCCAGAAAGAAACAGGTTTCAGATTGAAAATAGAGGTTAGGGAAATCTGTTCTCTCGGATTAGTAATATCAGTGAATAGGCTCAAATAAATACAGCAGAGAGCTGAATCATTTCTCACTCCCAGCGTTAATATACTCCAGAATAAATGATTACAAAATCCCAGTTGCAGTTTTTCATCTGTGACAGACAACTAACTACTTTAATAAAATATGTCATGATAACCCAGCAGATCCGCAATCAGTCTGCTGCACAGACACACCAACTGCATGGATTTACTAAACTGAGGGAAGGGAATTCCTTGATCTCTACCTTCACTTTGAAACCTAACATGTGCTGCATCCTGTAAAAGTTTTAAAGAAGACATGACAAGTGATTATAAGGCTCAGGAAATTACTCTTAGTAAATATTTATTTTCCTTGTGACTGACAATTATTTTTGCAATGGCCATTTCTGGGCCAATATTAATGGCCAATTTCACAATAAAACACATAAGACAGATAAAATAGAATGAAAAAAGGAATTATATCTTAAAATTTTATTCTTTTTCTTGTTTTGGTACAAGCTGGAATCTGTCTCAGCTTCTCCAAATGCTTTGGCATACACCTTGTGTCATTAACCGATAGTATAGTTAGAACCATTATGATTATTTTTTTATATTTATATTATTATATTTCTTTTATAAAGGGGGACAAAAAATGCAATTTCTTTCTCTTCATAGCTGCTGGTTTTACACAGGAAAAAAACGGATCCCAGTTTGAGCCTGTATCAAGACAACCCTCTGCAAAATCTGCAGCTTTAAACACAATAACTGAGTTTACTGGAACATTTTTAGACAGAAATACTGCCTCTTTCCTGCTCACTGAGCAGCATAGAGGTGTCTCCAGGGCATGGCTAAATGTACTGTAAACAGCCCAAATAAAGAGCAGAGAGTCAAGAAAAAGACGTTTGGTAACTTTTACCTGGATAGAAATTAATATTAAATCTCAACACTGCTAAAAAGTGGCAGTAAATTAGCTGAAAATATGGAAAGAAATTATTTTCAAAGTAGCCATTCCCAGTAATAAGTTGTGCATGTAGACAATGGACAACATAGTGTATTTTGCATGTTGCTGAGACAATTTACAGTTAGCAGATTGACTGGAGGGTTTACAACAATAATGGAGGTTGAGACAGCTGCTCATTTAAAGGACAAGGGGAAATTTGGCAGCTTGAGGGTGCTGCTTGTCTAGAATTGACAGCAGAGCTGATAAGAAACCTGATCTGCATTTTATCATTTGTGGAAAATGATAAAAAAAAAAAGCCCATCCTTCACATGCTTTTTCAAACTGACAGACAGAAACAAAAACAAAAAAAGCAGCTGCTGCTTGGATATATTCATAAATTAAGCTTTGCTCAGCAATCTTCCCCTGGCTGTCAATCAAGTATTTAAATGTATTCTCTCTTGTTTTCAGCTTCATGTACGGGGAGCTCACTGACAAGGACACCACGGAAAAAGTCCGACTGACGTTCGAGAATTATGAGATGAACTCATTTGAGATCCTGATGTACAAGAAGAACAGTAAGTAGCAGTAGTGGATGTGAAGAAACAGAGAAATGAGAGTCTCCAGTCTTTGTAATGCAAATGCTTTCAGAGCCTCTGTAGTTCAAAGGCAGCCCAGAACATTTCAGCGTCTGTAGAAATGTGCTAATTGGTTTAAGAGCCAGATTCATACTAGAACACCTTCCAAAGGAAAATATTGCTGTTTTTTTTTCATGTGCAGGTGAAATTTAATAGAATATTAAAGTTTCAATTATGATATGAAGTGTAGTGATATAAGAAACAGTCAAAGCCCATTTACAAATTCTGCATAATTTGAACAATAAGTGAATTAAACAACAAGAATAATAATTTTCTGAAATAAATTTGAATTATTCCCAAACCCATATTGATTTCTTTCACAAATAACAAAATAAGTTGCTTTTACATAATCATCACATACATGAACTCAGTGAATAATAATTATTTAGAGCACATATTCATTATAATCACTTCCCATTTTTCTTATTATTTCTTATTATTAATTTTCCCTTGAAAGAGTCACATTATCTTCTAATAAAACTAAAATAAGTCAGGGATAATGGTTCAATTTATATAGAATAAATCTAAACAAAACTGACCATGTTCATAAAAGAAAACAAAGACAGAATTATTAATATTTAATAATTTGGTAAAAATGATAAGAATTACAGTTAGATTGATTAAAACATAGGTTTTTATATAGTCTTTAAAAGACTGAAAAGTATTATTTTTTCTTAAATTATAATGTGATTTTTAATGTCTGGATAAAAATAGTACATGGAAAAATACATATAAATTTCCCGAGTTTTCCACCTACTTAAACCATGATATGAGCTTTTTTAATCTTTCTAAAATGTTATTAGAATGATGACATCTTTTTCCAGGGAATTCTAAGATATGTTTTTATTTTTAAACTAGGATGAAAAAATTAGACATGTGATGTGAATCTAGCAGTGCATTTTTCACCATTAATAAAATCAGCTTATTCTTGGTGTAAATATTAACAACATTATAACTGTGTACATTTCATTAGAAATTCAAGGTACATATTATTTGCTTGGTTACAGGGCAAAACAATTATAATATAAAATGATCAAATCTAGTAAGATATCAAATACTTATAATGGGTAATATTAGATTAAGGGATAAAAATCAAGATGGCAGGCACACAGTCGTTTTTATAGTAACCTGCTCTACTTTTTCAAAATATATTTATACATGTACCTTAAAAGATGTGAGGAAAAAAAAGTAAGAGTATATCAGAAAATCTGAATTAAATAAAAAGTAATCAATTTCTGTACATAAAATGTAGGCATTTTTTACATTCCTTTAAGAAGTTCTGTTTTGTTCTTCATTCATAATAGGTAATTTCCTCTCAAAGTAAGCAGATGATGAAGCTAAGCATGTCTTCTGTGTTTCCAGGGACGCCGGTTTGGTTTTTTGTGAAGATTGCTCCCATTCGCAATGAACAAGAGAAAGTGGTTCTGTTCCTCTGTACATTCAGCGATATCACAGCCTTTAAACAGCCCATTGAGGATGATTCTTCCAAAGGTCAGACCCAGCATTCCACAATTTTGTTTTTTTTAATGAAACATATTCAAAACTTTAACTAATTTAAATAATATCTATATTCACATTCATTCATGAGCAGGGCCTAAAGTGAACCTTTTTTGGCCCCCAGCTTGTTTGGCAGGTGGATTGTGAATTATAGAATGATATAAAAATAGTATTTTGTCATATTATAAGTTTATTTTCATTTTTAAATTTTTTTTCAATGCGTAATGTTTTGATGGAATGACATTTAGATAGATAACAACAATCCCAATGATAACAACAATAGCATAATTTAAAGAATCCAAACCATATTTCCAGGGGTGTAACCACCCTCTCAGGATTTTTGACCTATTGTTTAGTCTCTTGCTTTCAATTCCACCTTTCCTGTAAAATATATCTAAAAATCTCTTCCTGATACCGGCCTGGTTTCTCAGCGCAATAGATAATCTTCAGGATGTTATAATCTCTCCTTTATTCATTGTTCACCTGTGCAGACCTGGCAATAAACATAAAAAATGTAAAAAAGCAACATTTGAAAATTTAATTAGAAATGTATAAGTTCTTAAATGTGTAAGTTCTTAAATTTAAGAACTTGCACCATTTGTTTGGAAACAACTGCAAAAATGTTTGCTTCTTGCTGCTGGTTTGAAAAGCATTGTGATGCTTAAATTCAGCGCTGCTCTGCATCATGTTTGTATGTGTAACTTTTAATATTATTGGTGAGTTATTTGAAAAGGAAATAGGAAGGAGCACGGTATAAGGATCATTTAGAAATATTTTACTTTTGCTACAACAAATGAAAAATGTCCCTGGCTAATTCAGTTTACAAAAGAGATCAAGATTTAGGCAGCCTGCTTTGTGTCTTGTAAGGCTGTTCTAATAAGGCCACCTGTGCTGATTGATCTAAAAAATGTTAAAAATTTCAGGTCTGCATTCATTTAGTTTTACAGTAACTAAGCTCTCCCACAGAGGCATGATGTTTAACCATCTTCTGATACTGATATTAAGTGATCCCATATGATTAGAGGGCTCGTTTTGAATGCTGTCCTTGCAGCATATTAAATCTAGAAAAACAGCAAATAGACTGGATTTAAATAATTCATTTCTGGTCCCATCCACCCTCACTAGCATACACAGATTCATAGATGTTCTTTTCCCAGAGGCACATTGGCATTCAACATCTTCTCATTGTAACGCATGCGAAGCATGCTCTACTATCTGATGTTATAGGTACCTAACGATGAACAGATTTGCAGCAGAATAGGGCATTTTAAAAGAATGTCTCTCTTGATTGAAAATCAAGTTAAACATACAGTACCTGGTTCTTATCCACAATGTGTTTGTATAAACTCCAGGTTGGGGGAAGTTTGCACGACTGACTCGAGCTCTAACAAGCAGCAGGGGAGTGTTACAGCAGCTACAGCCTACGGTTCATAAAGGAGAAAATGTCCATAAGCACTCCCGTCTAGCTGAGGTGAGTTCAATTTAGCCGAAAAACTACAGTTTAATTCGGCCCATGGTGGCAAAAAATCGGTATATTTTTCTCTGTTATCTTTATTGTGCTCTGCTACTTGGAAGGTACTTCAGCTTGGCTCTGACATCCTACCTCAGTACAAACAGGAAACCCCCAAAACCCCTCCTCACATCATCCTGCACTACTGCCTCTTCAAAACCACATGGGACTGGGTCATCCTCATCCTCACCTTTTACACCGCCATCATGGTGCCCTACAACGTCTCCTTCAAGACCAAGCAGAACAACGTGACCTGGCTGGTGGTGGACAGCATCGTTGATGTAATCTTCTTGGTGGATATCGTGTTAAACTTTCACACCACGTTCGTGGGGCCCGCAGGCGAGGTCATCTCGGACCCCAAGCTGATCCGCATGAACTACCTGAAGACCTGGTTTGTTATCGACTTGCTCTCCTGCCTGCCCTATGATGTCATCAACGCCTTCGAGAACGTAGATGAGGTGAGTCTGTTAGCGATTGAAGAGGTGTCAATCAAAAATAAGTTTGTTTAAAAGTTAAATGTTAAAAATTCATTGAAGGGTTTAAACGAAATTGACAGATTACTTTCTCTTCTGTATTAAAATACATCTAATTGCCAATTTACATAAAATTTATTTGGTTTTCTTTTCTTTTGAATGGTTGAGAATAAGTCTGAACTAAGAGCGTAATCATTTATAAATTATCTAAATGTTTTCCGTAGTGATGAGTATTTGCTGAAGAGCCATCACAGGATCTCGAGCTAATTGGCACATTTTAATTGGCAAAGAGGCATTGCTTTGTTAAACTAGGGCACACTCCAGAGCTCTGCGACACTGATACTGGAAAACCATTAACGCCTCCTGACAGCTGACAAGGACCAAATCATCGGAAAATGTGGGTTAAAGTTGGCTTCCTTTCTTATAGTAGTGGTGCTGAGCTCTGCAGTTTTAGCTGAATATGCTATTTTTATAATTTATTTCAGGTAAGGTGAATGGAGTTTTTCTGATTATCTGGCTTTTTTTATTTTTCATTACCCCTCCTTTTTCTCTCTGAGAAAGTTTATGGCATCCTCCAGAAGTTATAGCAGCCATTAGAATAAAGCCTTGGAATAAAAAACAACAACAACAAAATTAATATATGTGCATTCATGCAATAGTTCTTTTTACAATAGAACAGGAATAATTCACGTAAGACATTTTACAAGGTTGGTAATATTTTATCACCCCCCCACCTCCCTCATAAATTCTCCGTAGATCATCCAGGCTGCTGAGTTCTCGATTATCCCATTTTCTTCTTAGCTCATCCCACAGGGTTTCTTTTACATATAGGTCTAGAAATCTTCATGGCTATGGAAAAATACTGATTTTCTATTCAGAGGTGTTTGTTTATCTGGTCATTTATTGGCCAAAATTTTAAAATATTAATCAAATTTGCAATATCTCTAAAGAAAGTGAGGTAAAAAAATAAGATAATTGTAGTTTTCCTTTACAAACTTCAAACATGTAACTGAAAAAAGCATAAAGATGTATCATTCTCATAAATAACTCATTTTAAGTTTTATATTCTGCTGAAGTAATCATTGTCTGAGTTTTGGCTTTTTGACTTTCCTTGTGTTTTATTCCATGCTTTTTGTTCTAATGTCCATTTTAAAGCAGCTGAGAACATTTCAGCTGAACATCTTATTGTTTCTGTACATACTTTAATTTTCCACAAACTTCCTTAAATTCTGAGTCCTTTAGATCAAGGCCTCAAACTTCAAATTTAACTTGGCTTTGTAGAAAGTAATACACTTTAATCAGCAAGTATAATAGCCTGAAAAAGTATTTACCTTTTTGGCATTTTTTATGTTTTGTTGCCTCACAACCTATGTTCAAAATTGGTTGTTTGAAAATGTGCACTATTTCTATAATTTTTTCTGTTACTGTCAGTTAAACAGCAATAGGCCTATATAAAAGAAAACTTCAAATCTCTTCACCCGATCTCTAAATTTTGCACTTTGTAGAGCCATTTAAAACAGCAAGTGGTTTAATTGGCAGAGGTGGACACGTCTTTCTACTGGGATTTTTTCCCCCCATCTTGAAACAAAACAGCTCCAGCTCCTTTATTGCTGAATGTTTTTAATGGTGAACATGAATCTTCATGTCTAACCACATAGATTCTCAATCGCAATTAGGTCTGGACTTTGACTAGACCGTTCCAACACATTTAAGTGTTTCCCCTCAAACCAATTGAGAGGAAACCAGTTCGTTTAACAGTATGAGTCAGGTTAGTGTCCAGCTGACATGTGAGCCAGTGTCCCAGTCTCAAATCACAGACAGTTTTACCTAAGAATATTCCTGTATGTAGCACCATCCACCATTTCCCTTGCCTTAGGCAAGTTTATTATTATCACCATTATTCACTGCAGGGAATGTGTCCTTGGGGTGATGGGATATGTTGGCATTATGTCAGACATAACATCTCTTAATGAATGAAAAGTAAAATACTTGTCTTATTTGACCAGAACATGTTCCTCCATACAGTACATTGGGGAGTTGCTTACATGCCTTTTTTGGCCACTCTTCCATAAGATCCATCTCAATGGATCGTACCATTTATTGCGGTTATATGGACAGACACTTCAGTCCCTGCTGCAGGAACTCTGTAACTCTTTAAGGGTTAAATTTAATCTTTAAAAAAATGTGTTTTTAAACTGACAAATTATGTGACACCATCATGTCATTAAGTATGTAACTTCTGAGGGTAACTGGTTGCACAAGAACGTTGTAGAAAAAAAGAGTACATATGCACAACTTAAACGCTTTTGGGGGATTTATTTTATAAAAATAGATAAAGAAAAAAAATGATTAAATGTAATAATGAAAAAATAAAAACTCCTATAGAGGTAAATACTTTTCACTGTACACCTGCTGTTCGTGTCTTCTTTTATTTGTGTTTAAATGCTTTTTGGTGCTTTCTATTCAGCACTTTTTTGAAGTTATATAAATAAATTTAGCATGAATAAGGGCCACCTTCTTGACATGTCTTTTCCAAGAATGAATTACTGATTGAATTACACACTGCTGTCACTTTAAACCTTTCTCCTGTCTTTATCCCTTGATGATTTAAAGAAGTAGCTAAATTTAACTACTAGGGCTGTGGTTTTTACTATTAGTCTACCATACCCTTTATTTACTACAATTATGGGACGTTTCAGACCAAAATACCAACTCACATCTGACTTATTGACTCTTTTCCTAGTTTTAAAGAATGGCTATATCATTTTAGAGTATGATAATGACTTACTCGCCAGTAATTTACTTTAAAGTTACAGTGGAAGATTTTGTGAATTTTGAAAAGACCGACCCTCTGCACTTAAAAAAATGCACATGCACAACCCTGTACCTGCTCCCAAAAAGGAACGGCTGTTAAACATGTGCAAGAGCGTGCACGAGCCCATTTCTTCTCATGCACGCTCTGTTTAAAAGTTGCTGTTTGCATCGCTCATACAAGCTACTTTCCAAAAGAAGATTTGCAGTATTTCCACTATGTCAGATTCACCACCTGTAAGTGAAAATGGGACGAGCACGTAGGACGGCTTTACGTAAACATATCACAAGAATGATGGACAATTAGGAGGAACACTAATTTTGATGAGCCACTCGGAAAAAGAACGTCCTCCACTATACCTTTAAAACAAGGAAGTGGTCTCAACATTTACTGCAAATAAAGATTAATTTTATTTGGCATTTTTACCTGCCTTTACAAGGAATGCTGTTTGTATTATTTCATACAGGTGAATTTGATAAACTAAATCCTGAAAAACTTATTGACAGAGCTTGAAAAAAATTATCTAGATTTGTTTGAAAGGCTTATTGGATACGAGAAAATAAAGGTTCCTTTAGAGTTGTGCCTGCTGGTCCAGAAGTAAGTACACTATCTGTTTTTAATTTGATTCACAGTGATTAAACTCAGCTGTGTGGTGTTGCATTTGTCATCTGTCATTGTAACTCATGATTGTGTCCCTCAATGTGCTTAAACATGTCAAGGTTCATGATTTATGTGTGTTATTGTCTCAGTGTGAAACACTGTGATAGCATTAAACATTGCAGTGTATCAGAATAAGTCCAGCTCTGGATTTCAGCTCTTGGGGACTATTAGGTTGCTCGCACAGTCTGAGGTAACACAAAAATCGCTACTAAATCTTTAAAATAGGGCTTCCAGTGTGGGCAGACTTCATTGATCTGTTTCTGCAAGACCAGCATTTTGGTCCTGTCAGGATCATTCAGAGCTGCAGCGATAGAAATGCTGACAAGTTCAAGTGTGGGAGAAACCTTCAGGATAAAAAAAAAACCCTGAGAAAAAAAATGAATTGTTTGTTTTTTTGAGTTGTTTAAAAGATTGATGTTAGATAATAGGAATAGCTACCAAAAATCTAACAATAGTTGTGTGATGTAATTTAGCTGTCCATTAATGCACACAATTGATGAAGGATTTTTGTGCTTTTCTGTAGAAAGAAAATGTAAAAAAGCATTCCTGGAATAATACAGTGATTTGGGTTTTAATTAAAAAATATATCAAAACTTAAAAATATATAATTTAATTACACTTCAATAGTTGTGGAGTTGAAAAATGTTTAACGTTTATTAAGCATACAATTAAAAAAGGAGTGGAATAAAGAAATGAACAGAAAATATAAGTAACAATTGACCTATATAAGGAATTAGGAAAACGAGAATAAATCAATTAAAGGAATAATAAAACATTTGGGATTGTTTGACTGGAAAGGGTTTCAATCATAGACAAACAATAAATAATAATGAAAAGTAAAAAAAGATTATTTGGTTTTGCCCTGGATATCATTTGGTTATTGATTATCTGCAAAGCACTTATTCACTGTGTTTGAAATGACTTAGCATTTTGTATTTTATATCACAAAAAGATAAAGACATCTTGCTGCCGCACTAGAGCTTAATGTGTGACATGAATAACTTTGATGGCTGTTTCTCTCCTATAAATCTTAAAAGAAACACTGGTTGATTATAAACGTTATAAGCTGTTCAGTGCATGCCTTGATCACAGTGCGTTTTTTTTTCCTGTTTCATTTTTGATCGTTGTATTTTTTTCATGTCTTTATTTGTTGCTTATGAGTAATAAGTATTCTTTCTCACCTTGCTCGCCTTTGTTTCTTCTTTCCTCCCCCCACCCCCCCATTCTGTTTGCATGGCCTCACCCCCCCTCCCTCTTCTGCCTGTGTTCATGCATGGGACGTGATGGGAAGAATTGGAACCACCGAGCTGTCACCCAAGTAGGCTTCAGTTTGATCAGAATATGACAATGCACAGTGTTGAGTTTTTACTTCACAAATGGATTCTTGACAAACAGTTTGGGTAAATAATTTTCCTGCTGACCACAGTTTCCTAAAACTTTGAAAGTCTTTAAAAGCCCTATTGCAGCTTTCTTTCTTTCCCGCCTTATACGGGTCTACCTACCTACAAACCTCTTTTTTATTAAGATATTAGTTGATAAGGAAGCAAAATGTTGCTAAGATACGAGGTGCAGGAAAAAAAAAAGAATTTACACCAAGAATAAACTGCATTTACTTTGACAGAATAAAATGTTAGATGTATGGTGTGCATCTGGATTCACCCCCTTGGCTCAATATTTTTTAGAACCAGCTTTAATTGCAGATTTCTTTTGAAGCAGAAGTTATTAAGTGCTGCCTGAACCATCCTGGTCTAATGCTGCATGTTTAGGCTTGTTGTTCGCCTTCTCCTGGAACCGCTGTCTCAGTATCAAGTGTCTTGCAGCCCCCAGTAGGTTTACTTTCAGGTTCAGTCTGCATTCAGCTCTGTCTGTGTTCCCATCAGTTCTGGTTAGTCATATTCCTTTTGAACATCTCCACAGCATGAAGTGTTTTTTGGGGTGATAGCTGTCTGCTTCACAAAGCTTTACAGTTATAGTCCAAGAAGTTCAGTTTTAATCTGATCTAAAAGTAGCATCTTCCACGTTTACTGGTTGAAATGTGACTTTATTTGATTTTTTTTTCTTGCATTAAGGCCAATTTGCAGAACACAGATCTAAGAATTGTCAAGAAATTCTCCCACCTGAGGTTTAGAGCTCTGCAACTCCTCCAGAGATAGACTGAGCCTCATGGCTTCCTCTCTGGTTAAAGCATTCATGGTTAAAGCATTCATGCCAGGTCATTGCATGCCAGTTCAGATATACAGTAGGTTTGTACTTAAGCAGTGCTCTGTGAAATGCTCAAGCCTTTGGATATTTGCTGTTTAAGCAAACCCTGCTTTAGATTATCCATCACCATATCTCAAACTTTACTGCATTTTTTTCTTTTTCGAAATATACAGCTATGGATTACTTTTATTTTGCAGCTATAATAATGTTAACTAACGGACTGGATTTATTAATTTGAGGATAAGTGAAGGCAATTGGTTGCACTGGATTTTTTTCAAGAGTACTAGAGTAGAGGGAGCTGGATACAAATGCACACCACACCAAAATGAATATTGGTGTGCATGCACAATTGTTGTTCTAAAACAATTGTGCATGACGTTATGCCGGCTTGTCAATTTCAATACCTAAATAAATATGTTGAGTTTGTGGTTTTAATGTATAAAAATATGAAAAAAATGGAATTATTTGAATTCTATAATAAAGCTTTTTACCTAATTGTATATTCATTCTGGATGGTAACCAGATTAAACTTGTGTTAGTTGTACGGATTATATTTGAGAATATATTTTTCTCTGAATAAGGCACTTCTGATCTCATGTGGAACAAAAATGATAGCATCTAAATGCAGAATACCATAATAAAAGGTTGTAATGCAAATATAAAGACCAGAAAAACTTTTTAAAGAAAAACGCAGCAGAAGTAAGGTAGGTTGTTGGCTACTGAAGGTGAAATACCAGAAAGGCTGTCATAAATAAAACAAGTCTTAAGTTCAAAGCAGTTTAAATCTCAGTAAGGCCTGATAAGACACAGATGGAAACAATAAATATAATCACAGGCAGAAAAAAGTGGGAGAGCAAATCCAGATATAAAATCCACAGGCAGACTACTGAAATAAAACAGAGCCCATAATGTAAACAAGGCACGAAGGGGCCTAATGAATTGAAAAAGACACACTTAAAGCGAACCTCTAGCGTCTGCACATCATGACACATGAACTGATCACAACTAGAAAGAGAGATCCCAGCTTGTCAGTACGAAAACTGTAAGAGAACTAAAATGAGCAAAAATAAAACACATAAAAATTAAGCTGTTGATCTATCAAAGTGCAGAATATTTACTTATGCGTTATACTCTGCTGTATGGCTCATTTAGACTCTTTTACGAAATGAAGTGACATGATCTTTTTTCTCCCTATACTGGGGAAATTCAGGTATATCACCAGTAAAAATGCCAGGCAAATGAAAGAACAAAGACACACCTACCAATATGCAATAATAATAAGTAAAAAATAAACTTTGCTGCTGTAAAAAAGAGAAGATTGAAATTTTAAAGAAATTGTGATTTACGCGGTTTTAAAAACAGTTTTTTTTATGTCTTTGTGAAACCAGTTATTTGCAAAAATATTAAAATCTTTGGAAGGATTTAAAGGTATTTACAAAGGAATAAAATATAAACTGGCGATAAACTTCTCTGATCTCTTTTCTTCCCTTTTTCATGCTAAATTAGGTATGTCTCATTTTATATCCCCCGGTTTTTCAATTTGTCATTTGAATATCTTTAGATCTTTTTATTTTTTTAAATCATAATTTCTTCCTGAACAGGTTAAACATCTCTACTCAGTGGAGCGATTAGGTTTTAAGTATTGAGCCTAATGTATCCCTGGGTTGATTGAAAACTACAGGAAGTTATGTGAAGGAATCACAGACTTTTCATATGGAAATAGCAATGACCTAAAAAGTATGATAAAAAAAAAAAAAAAAAAACTTTTCCCCTCATTCTCAACATAAATAGATTGTTGTCATTGGCACAGGGCCAAAGGAAACAAACTTGTTTTTATTCAGATTGTTGTATATTGTAAAATGGCTGCCCGTTAATTGTGATGAAATTTCTTTCTGTTGTCTTTATTAACCAAAAAAAAAAATTGTGTCAGAGCTTGACCAAAACCACCTAATTGCTCTAACAAAAGCATTGGCGTTGCTGTTGACTAAATACCTCAGCAAGTTTATGTGGAGCAGTGTATCTAAGCAAGAAGGGCCTAGAAAATGTGACATAGTTTAAATGTAAAATTATAAAGCTGGTGAGAAGCAAATAACTGAATTATTGTTAACTGGATCTGCACAAATTCTGACAAACGTAAGGAGAGATCTTGACTTTATTGAAATTTTCCCAAAGCCATTTTTGTACATAGTGGTTGTTCTACTCTTTCTGGCTTCTGTGAGGGCTGTGCATCAAATGTTTAAGTTTTTAAAATACTCTTCACATTAGAGACTCTGAGAAAAACAAATATTTATGAGAATAGTTTTCAGCAACTGAGATATTTCAGCTTCAACTTAGTAACCATATAAAATAAAACCTATATGGTGAGTGAAAGTGAGACCAAAAGCAATTAACTGAATATGTCAGCAAAAAACAGATAGCTGTACACTGTACAATCAGACACAATGCCATTTTTAATCTCACTGAGACATTAAATCAGATAATTTCTCGTTAGGGTCACCAATATTATTATTATATCAGCAAGTTATCAGAGGGAGAACTGTACACTGGAACAAATCAAAATCTAGATAAGTTGTTTTTTTCTTAAAATAAGTGCATATGTTCTTGGATTGAGGAGGAAAAAGAGATATTTTGCCAATGGAACAAGACAATTTACATTTAAAATAGGAAAACACAATTGCATTGTCTTATTTCAAGTGCATATTACCTAATTATCTTATTTTAAGAGTAAAAATACTCATTCCACTGGCAAACTACCCTATTTACCTACTCAAATAAAGGGTAAATAAACTTAATTTAAGAAATCTTTACTTATTTCTAGATCGTTTTTCCAGTGTGAACCTAATTCATTAAATGGGTATGATTTCCTATTACCTATATATGTTCAGTTATATGCTGGTATAATCAGCCATCCAGCCATCATAAATATGTGTATCCCAGGGTCAATCTATTTGGTAACAAAGGTTTAACATAACAAAATAACTAAACTCATAAAGATGTTGTCGGAGGGTGTTTTTAACTGCTGTGAAATTATTCCACTTTTAGGCTGAGTGCATTTGGTCTTAATGATCATAGTATGATTTTGAAGAAAAAGTAAATGTTTGCACATTATCCTACCTGTGAGTTAAAGGGGTGGCAACACCATGGTGTGTGGCTGCATTTTACAAAGCAGATGACATCACCAGAGTAGAACAATTTGTAAAATTGTCAAGAAACATCTGGCACATAAGGGTTAAAGCTCAGTGACCCAAGGCATATCACCAAATCAGTCTGAAAGTGGCTTCAGGAAAAAAAAAAGTCAATGTTCAGGAGTGGCCATCACAAGTGTCTGATCTAAAGGCTGGAAAGTGATTTCATAGAAGCTGAACTTTAGGTGTCTGATGGGCAGATCAGGTGGCAGCTAGCACAGCAGTTGTACTCGCATTGCAGACCACAGCACTTTAGCAAAATCAATACGGGGATAGTGCACAGACACACACATAAAGAATAGCAACAGAACTGCAGAGCAGACTGATGGGATTACAGTTGTCGCTTGGAATCAGTGAGCGGGTGTTTCAGGCTGCAGCTAAGCTGACTAGACATTTAGCCTTTGGTTACTGCTGCCCAGGGTTGTAAAGTTTCATTACAGTTTGGAGGAATGCTTTTACACTTAAATATTGATGTTGATTCATAATTATCATTTTTTTCAGTATTTGTCATTTCTTCCGCTTTCATCAACATATAAATATTTTAAAGATGATCGATTTTATTTGCTCTAAAGATGCAGAAAATCCTTCTCAATATTTTCCCATACATCATTTTCAGCATTTTCTGTTGGATTTTACTTAAAAATGTTGAAAAAAAATCACTTCAGAAACTGCTTTTAGCTGATTAACTTTAATGGGATGCTTCTAATTATATGTTTGTTTGTTAAGAAGCAAAGCTAATTAAAAGACTACAGATTACCTTTTTCCTAATAATTGTTAATATTCTAATGGAAATTTAATTTTGTCAAAACTTAACAGATAAAAAAAAATATGAAAAAATAGAAAAAAAAATTCTCCAGGAATTAAAAATTATTAAATGTTACAAAAAATTTCTAAGAGCACTGAAATAATTTATTAAATAAAACCAATAAAGGGTATGTTTTTTTACTTATATAAGCTTGTTGTGATGACACTTTAAATAAACAAAAGAAAAAAATGTTTAACAGCTTTCAAACCTCTTATCATGATCTGTGAATGTTCTTCTCTAACATTTTTCCTATTCTTTCTAATTTTTTTAGGGGATCAGCAGTCTCTTCAGCTCTCTTAAGGTAGTCAGGCTCCTCCGTTTGGGTCGGGTCGCCCGTAAACTGGACCACTACATCGAGTATGGGGCGGCTGTCCTGGTGCTGCTGGTCTGTGTTTTTGGGCTGGCTGCACACTGGTTGGCCTGCATCTGGTATGTTTGTCCCAGATCAGCAAAACGTTACATAACGCTTTTTTTTTTTTACAGGAATATTACAGAGCATTGATTGCAGCTATTTTATACCAAAGGGGTCACTTATGATGCTGATCTGTGCTTTCATTATTTTGTATAAGGAAATATTTTTATGATTCATTGAACCCAGAATCTCAAAGGCTAAAGAGTTATTGCACTTTCTGGAGAAATATTGTTTTTCTCATCTGTATGTAAATTTATGGAGATGGGCCTCCAAAATCTAATCAGATCATCGACCCGACAGGGGGGCTATAGAGTGTAGTGGAAGCATTAAGTTTCCATCATGTGTTGTGTCTGATTTATTATGTTAATGAGAAGGTTTACAGACATAATGAGGAAGACATTATCTTGAATATCTAAATCTACACCCACACAAAACAGGGAATCAGTTTTTTGCTGTTGTTTTCATTAATATACTGATATTTTATGCAGATGTGTTTTTTTTTTCTGTTTCGTTGGTTGTTGTTTTTTTTTACACACTTATTATAAATGTTCACCCACATTCCGTTTCCCATGGAGGCTCCAAGCGGGGTGGTTTTGCGTCAAGCATCGGTCCAGACGCAGTGTAATCAAACCTGAATAAATGTACCTGATGGTGCTCCAAAACCAGACAGCCATACCAGTAAAAATAGCTCCTGTGTGGTTTCAGCGGTTGCCATGGACACATGCCGAGCCGCGTCGGCGACTCGAGAAAAGTTTAACCGTCGTCAACTGGGATGACAGCAGCGACTGCAGGAGCTGGCTTCCTGCTCTCTGCCTGTCATTTTCTTTTACCCAGAAAAGAATGGAGGGGGCTGAAGGGTTACTTTAATACTATGGCTGTAAAAAACAAAAGCAGATTATTTGCCCTTGAATAAGAATATTGGATTTTTTTGTTGTTGCTTGTTTTATGAAGAGAATTGTTGTTTTTTTCCACAGAGGGGTAAAGGAAAGCACATATTTTTGTTGTGTTCATTGGGAGACAAAAAAAAAAAAAAGCTTTTATACAGGAAGCCAGTTATTTTCATATGCAAATAGCGAACCCAGACAGGTGCTCCTGATGATGAATTGTTTTTTCCATGCAAAATCCCTCAGCTGTTGAAATACTCACTGATTTTCTTTATCTCATAAAAATAACACATAGAGAGGACTTTCTTTTTACTTTAATACATGAAATACTTCAAATGCAATAGTTGTCAGTTATTTGATTTGTTCTTTTGCCATTATTTTTAGTTCTTTCTACAAATTAATATTTCTGATTTTCTGATATTGGACTGATTTCTGATATCAATACAGTATCGGGACACCCTTAATTTTTACTGTGCCTCCTAATTGAATCATTCCGGCCATTTTGATCGCTTTAGGGTGATTTGGACAGTATTCTTGTGTATTTACATTTATAGGGATTTTTGTAGACTTTTATTGTTTTATTGTTAGTTGTTCATCATGTAGTTTAGTTTGCTTTACTTACTTTTAATTGCTTTATTTTACTTTATTTACTTGCTTTACTTACTTTTAATTTTAAATGTTTTTACAATTTCAGTGTTTGTTTTTGTCACAGCTGTGTCTCTCTGAGGTAATAAATGTTTGGTAAACAGGTTGAATGTATTTTTCTGTTTTCTGTTGTTTTTTCTGTTTAGCTATTTCACTTTGATTCCCCTTTGGTCATTCCTCAGTTAAAAATAACTTTCAAATGTCTTTTCTGCATGTTTTCTTCTTTATAATTTATTGATTTTGTTACATATTTGGAGAAACACTGTAATTATCTCATTGTGCAAAGGGTTCTAACTAACACTTGCAAGAGAAAATTTGTTGGGTTTTTTTCCCCAATAATAAACATTTTTATAGAGTTCAAACAAGTGAGTCTTATGAGTCTCTAATCAGACCCCACAGATGGTTAGTAGGGTGAGAAGGATTTTGAGAAATGTTTTCCAGCATGTCTTTAGGATGCTAACGAAAGCAAAAACAAACTCTTACTGTAAATAGTTTTTTTTCAAAAGGATTTAGTAAAAGTATTTTCAGGAACATCAAACAACCAGAAACGCTTTCAACTATTTAAATGAACTTAGACATGCAGTGGAATGCTAATTTAATTACTTTTATTAAGAAATAATATACTTTAAAAACGGAAATTAGAGGAAACTTTTGTTTGTTTTAATTTGAAACATGGTGCATGTGGTGTGATAATCTACCAGTGGTACAGTGACTTAAAAAAAAAAAAACCCAGCAAAAACAGCAAAGAACATAATAATAATAAAGGTTAAAGTAAAAAGATACAATAATCATAACACCTGGGAAAAAAATGATTTGAGCCCATTTTAACCCACATCACAGCCTTGCATCGTCATATTACGGTATCAGCTGAGGACGACGTTGTTGCCTCTCCCTTTACAAGCCCCGATATTTACTTGTTCTTTTGTGGCTGTTTTGTTCCGTTTTGTTTGTGTATATAAACCTGCTACAGACGCTTAGTTGTTGCATCTTTTTTTTTTTTCATTTTGGATTAATTGCCTGCTACCTTATTTTTTCCCGCACAGACATCTTCCGCCCCATACTTTCATTTTATTAAACACACAGCAGTATATTTGTGGCACTTTTTCTTTGCTCCATAGAAACTCTTTCCTTCAGGGATTCCAGATAAAACATTGTTGTCCCTTAAAGCTGTATTACTATATTGCTGGGATGATGATACATAAGTCTCTTTTATTGTCTAAAAATGTACAATTACAGACATTTCTGTGTGCAAATTTCAAATGTGCCAACTAAAGAAACACAAACTGCTACTAAAATCTCTTTCAGGTTTGATAAATCCCTTTGCAGGCAGTAAGACATTACAATAGCATATTCCCCATTTCAATATTTTGCACTTTTTGGTCATCAGCATATGTTCTGCATAAAGCTGTCTACTCATTATAGAAACGCAAACCCTGTGTGTCCCCGGTTAGCAGATCAGCTTTGCATCCACTTTCAAGTTTGTCTGTGTGTTTGTTTTTAACAAAAGCCTTCATTACATCAGGGGCATGCTGTGTTGTCAGTCTCCTGAACTTCTGAAATATCATTTGATCACAATTGAATCTTTCTCTTATTGTGTTAAATATTTTATCTAAGGGCCTTTTTTTCTTGGGGGGTTAGTCCGGAGGTGAGGACTGGATTTTTTGATAAAAAAGATTTTTTATTAACCTAAAAATGCAGGATCAAGATCCAAAAAAGCTGTTGCTGTGTGGACATAAGTTACTTTTATTATTAACATAAGAGCCTTCTGATTTGAACAGTAGCTTAGTTTTATAAAAAGTTTTCAATGTGGACTTTGCTTTGTGAGGAGGTTCCATTTCTACTGTCATTATACTTTAACTCCACAAAACTGGGTCACTGGGATGTTTATGCTCATATATTTAATGATTTTTTTTTTTACTTTCAAGAGGATATATTTTACTTACTTTGGTTGGACAGACAGAATTCTGGAAGTTTTTTTCAGTGCTGTTTAATGTTTATTTAGTTAATTGCCTGAACATTGTGCCTTATAAATGAAAACCAACGTTATGAGAAAATCGAATTGAACTATATCATTATTTTTCCTTCAGGTACAGCATTGGCGACTATGAGGTGGTTGATGAAGAAACCAATATTGTCCGCACAGACAGCTGGTTGTACATCCTGGGTAACTCGATGGGCAGGCCCTACCGCTTCAACGTCAGTTCAGGGATATGGGAGGGTGGCCCGAACAAGGACTCCCTCTACATCACCTCCCTGTATTTCACCATGACCAGTCTGACCAGCATCGGCTTCGGCAACATCGCTCCGACGACAGACGGGGAGAAAATCTTTGCTGTGGCCATGATGATGATTGGATGTGAGTGGAAGTGGTGTCTGTTCTCTCTACTGATGCTGATATGTGTTACCTGAGAATGACATTGCAATGCACTAATTTGCAAATAAGTGAATTATTAATGGAGTCATGGAAGTTTTGGGAAACTTCAACCAGATGATAGACCAAGCAATATGTTGGGCTTTGACCTAGATTATGCTGTTCAGTTTGATCACCTTATAATCTATTTTTACACCTATATTTGGCCTTAATTAACACTGAATCACATTGTTGGGTTGCCGTTTCACCTAAGCTTAGAACAAGACTTTAAGTTATGTAAGAGCTTTTTAAAGAAATGTAACCTAGTTCAGGCTTTATATCCACAAATTTAACATCATACAGAAAAAGCACTAATAAATTCCCCTCCCTTAGTTTCCTTTTCAATCTCAGCACTGCTGTCACCTCCATTCAGCCTAGTTTAATACAATGATATAAAGTGACATTTTACTCATTATCCTTGTCTGTTGTGTGATAACATGGTAAAATATTTAGATTTTCTAGCACATGCTTTCTGTTTCGATACTGAAAATAGTAAGCCAGAAATGGTAAATAAGATGCTAAAATGACAGGCTTTGGGTCGATTTTAATAGTTGCCTACAATGCCTTGCAAAAGTGTTCCCACACTTATGTTCTCATTGAGAATTTAGGGCAAAGTATCTTATTATTAGGAAGAGGGAGGAATTTTCTAAGAAATCTGGCATGTGTTTGTATTTGTTACACCCTTACTCTGATACTAGGAAATACACTTTTTAACTAAAATACAAAAAAATAATATTAATGTTGAATTAATCTTGAATTCAACACCTAAGAGTGTGAAATATGGGGGTGTCAGTGTCATGCTGTGAGGAAGTTTTAAAACACAAGGACAGGGAAGTTTGCTGAGTCAATCTGAATAGAGATTGAGCTAAAAACAGTGAATTTATGGGGGGAAAATACTGTGGTAGAGGCTGAACAGTTCACTGAAAGAGCCAAAATGAACTGATTTAAAACAAGGCTTTATTATGGGTTTTAGTCAAATTCAGGGCTTTGAAAATCTATGAGAAAAAGACCTGAAAATTGATATTCACAGATACTTTCTGTCTAATTAGATTGTTCAAAAAAGGAATGGGCAAAAACATTAGTCTCTGGTTGAGCAAAGTTGGTAAAGAGATAAAATCCAGAAATTGCAACAAAGATGAAGTACAAAAAAAAAGGAGCAACTTAAAGAAAATTGGTGCTGACTATGAATGCACGCCTTAGTTTCCCTTTGGTTAGTAGGTTTAATTTTATTTTAAATTTACTTTACATTAATGACTTTACTGTATATCCCCATTACTGTAGATTCTAAATGACAATTGGCACCATGCACCATGCACTCACCAATTCACTACAGTTACATCAGAAATAATACCAATCATATCAGTTTGCTATTTATTTGTGAGCTTAAGTAAGTATGTATTACCAACAATTCTTCTGTTTGCTCTGCTTTCAGTAGTATTGAAAGCATTCAGTGGGTTTGAAACCTCATCTCTACTGTAACCAGCATTACATAACAAGCCTTTCTATCAGAGCGAATATTTAACATGATATAGAGAGCTTTAATGAATGGCAAGATGAGATTTTCTATCACAATCTCATCAGCACTGCTGTCGGACTCACTCAGTCTGAATCAATACAATGACCCAGGCCTGCTGTGATAACACAGATATTTAGATCTTCTAGTGAACACTTTGTAATGCCCCCTGAAAGTCGCAGGCCTGAAATTAAGTAGTTTACAGTATCTTGCAAAGTCTTTACATCCTTTAAATGTTTTCAAATTCAGTTACAACCACAAATTTCAATGTACTGTTTAAGTGTTTTTAATGTTTAATTGGAAAGGAAGATTTGTAGAACTGATGCCTTGCAGCAAGAAGAGGTGTTGGGTTTGATTCCGCACATCCATCCGCACAATGCAACATAATGCTGGCAGCACCATACTGAGGGCTTTCAGTTCTTCAAAACAGACAGGGAGGATAATGGAATAACAGGACAAAGTGAAATGCAGGGTATTTCGGATAGAAACCTATAATAAAAAAAAGGGATTAAGTTTCACTTTCCAGCTGGAAAACAACTACAAACATACATGCTTCGTTAGAATGGTCCAGCTCGGAACTACATCCTACTAAATCCTATGGAGAAAATTCATCCCAAAGGCTATTCCCCCACTACCCGCTACCATGACAACCAGTCAGAGTTCGTAAAGATAGCGACTAGGAGCAAAGGATCACACATTACTGTAGATGAAGGCTGTAGCCGACGGGCTGCAACAGTCTGCTCTGGAAAGCTTCTTTCCCCTTATAACATCATAAGGGGAACGCTTTTCAAACAGAGCATTTGGTAGCACACAGTAGCAAAGAGGTGGAGCAAGGCAGTTAGAGAGGGAAAACAATTTTTTTTCATTCGTGAATCGCATGCACAGGCTTCAGGACACATACGACTGTTACAAAATGTTTATAAAGTGAATTTTGCATAATATGGAACCTTTGAGACTTCCAAACTGTTGTTGAAAAGCCGAAAAGAATGGGTAAAATTTCAGTATCTGTATTTAGAGATTCAACTCAGCTAGAATTTAAGCCTAAAGTGGTCAACACGTAATAAAGGTATTGTGGAGGATTTTTGCAAATTTTTTATAAGCCCCCCCCCCCACTGCACTTAAAAAGAAAAAAGCACATGCACAACCCTGTACCTGCTCCTGAGAGGGAACGCCAATTGAACGCGTGCAAGAGCATGCACAAGCCCATTTCTCCTTGTGCACACTCTGTTTAAAAGTTGCTGTTCTCGTAGCTCATACAGGCTTACTGTGTCCCCTAAATCCCTCAATCCCTATATAGAGTGGGGACTATATAGTGGACTTTAAAGTGAACTCACTTAACTTATCGTTCAGACATATGATCATTAATCTTGGCTGCCTGTTGGTCACGTAACTCCTGCTCCACCACACGGTGCCTGTGCCATCTTTGTTATTAGTCGCCGCTGTTGGGTAGGGGGTAGCATATATCTGCCACTTCTGAGGCCTTTTTCTTCTCATACATTTCGTAGAAACTTTTTTTCTTACAGCCCTCGTCCATTTTTAAAGACCTGTGGTGAGAAAAGGTGAGCTTCGATGACTGTTTTAAACCGTAGCTCACCACAGATATATGCCTGAAAGTGCGCATGAAAAAGAAAGCTAACCGAGGATGAGCACGTAGGACGGCCTTACGTAAGCATATCACCAGAATTATTGACAATTAGGAGGACCACTTATTTAGATGATCCACTAGGAAATAAAAGATCATCCTCTATAACTTTAAGTCAGAGAGCTTAAGGGATGGACATTTATCATATTGTTTGTCCTTATTCTGATAAAGATGTTTGTTGTTTTTTTATCTCATGGTTTCGGTTAACATCTTGATATGATTTTAAGTCCATATTGCTCAGTCCTAACCTCAATACAAATACATTGATGCTTGAAACTGTTTTAAAAACATTGATCAATTTCCTTCCACTCCACTCATAAATCCCAATGAATTTCTAAAGTTTTGGAATTTAACAACCAAGGAAAAACTTTGCTACTTTTTTCACAAAGTCTTGTTAAATGTTCATCTTTTGTGGCTATAAATAAATCGGTGTTTAGGATTTACAGGGTTGCAAAATTTCCCTTCTTTCCACGTTGTGTAATTGATGAGGATCTCTGCTTTTGTAGCTCATATTACTGCACACAGAGAACAACCTCGGAGCAATAACTGACACTGCCAGATCAATTTAGCACAGCGCTCCCTCTGATCCCACCGCAATCACCCCTCACCTCCGCTGTACTTTTGTCAGCTACAGTCTCAACCCTGAGAGCAGAGAAACAATCCTGCACACACGCCCCCACCCCTCTTCTCCCGCCCTTCTCCTCCTTCTACTTTCTCTTCGATTTGCCTGTTCGCGTTTATGAATACTCTCTCGGGTTGGAGGTGGGGTGCAGGTGGGGGTGGGAGGCAGAAAAAACTCATTTTCAGACCCATCTTTGTTTCAAATTTTCATTGTGAGAGACAAATCACCTTAAATCTCCCAAAATCCGACAGCCTCGGGAGGATTCTGTTGTAGATGCAATGTGTACTCCGCGGCTGTTCTCTATGAAATATGGATGCACTGATTCTTGCTATTTTTACCAGCGGCATCGGATCAGCGCTGGCAGTGGAGGATCACAGCGTGGGGAGGGATGGTAGGGTGGCATGGGAAACAGTAGGGGGAAGAGGGGAGGGGGTTTACTGTACATGTGTCCTGTTGCCATAGCAACTGGTGGCCCCGGGGCTGGAGTTTCTATCAACTGTGCTTAAACTACCTGCAAATGAGCCAGCTGTTTGAGGCCATTCAATGATGTTTTGTGTGACAGGAAGCTCATGAGGATGTTGCCTGCTGGATGAAGCTCTACTTTCAGAGAGATTGAGTTTCCTCTCTAACAGCATTTCCTGCTTGGAAAGAGGCCCAGTCATCCACCTAAGTCTCTCTAAATAGCCACAAACAGTATTTTGGGTCTGCAACCTGTGATGGCATGTCTCTACAGCAGAGGGATGCAGATGATTCCCCCATTAAAGGAATCCTGAGCTGGTTTTAATTAGCATTATTCCCCCACGCAGGTTTTCAGCACTTTGATTGAGCGTTGTGAAATAAACAAACATGCACCGATGCATGCGCAGGTTACTGTCATCGCCGTCAGAAGATAATTGAAATGTTTGGCTGGCATGTTTCCCTCTCCGTCCCTTCAAGCAGGGCTAATTAGGGCTCCATTGCCAAGAGAACACAGCTCACACAGAGCAGACATCTGATAGCTTTGATCCGAACCCTCACGCCAGCTGTTCCACCTCTGATCCGCTGCTTGACTCTTTTCTTTTCCCTTTCTGATAATTCTTCCTTCAACTTGTAATGTTGGACTTAGCATTATGAAAAACAACTCCAAACGTCTTAAACTGAAGCCTTAATAGTGAGTTTTCCCTTTTGGCAAGATGTCTGATAATATTTGGGCCCAGTTATTATTAATTCTCTGTAATTTCCCAAATGATTTATTGAATCATGTAAAGCCTAAAATAATATTCAAGCTGGAGACTTGATTGGTCCTGATCAGCCACATTAGATATGAGGCGCCTTGCAAAGGAACAGCTTTCATGCCCCTGTCAACCACACATCTCACTGCATTTATAGCCTGATATTACTGTGTGTGTTGGACTAAAATTGAATCACAAACACGTCAGGCTGCAAGTTGCAAATTTACCAAGACATGATTGATTAACTTAACTACTGTAGCTGGGTAAAGAAAGCATTACTCAGACAAGCCAGAAAGAGGTGCATGTTACTCTGGAGGAGCTGCTGAGCTCCACAGCCCTGCTGGCGGGATAACTGTCTATTGTCTCCTTTGCAACAATTCTTATAGAGGATTCAGCAAACATTCAGGAGAAGCTGTTTACCTTGAACACCCTACTGATGGTGGCAGTATCAGTATCTGGGGATAGTTTTGTTAAAGCTGGTGAAAGTTGATTAGGCGTTGAATGTGGCTAAATTCAAGACAATCCCAAAAAATATTTTTTAATGAATCGACTCTAATTTGTATTGATTTATAATTTCAAATAAAACATAACAGATAGTGGATGTGAAATGACAAAAACTTTAAAAGGGTATGAATACATTTATGGGGTTCTGTAGATGGAAGAGTCTTTCAGAGCTGTAACCATTGGTGCAAAACAACAAAAGCTATACAGAACAGTTACCAGACCCTCTCTCATTGTTAGGAATTTGCCAAAGGGATCTTAAATTATTCACAGACCAAGAAACCAAAAATCTTCAGGTTTTATAAAGAGATTACAAGAGAGGGAATTTGATCCGAATTTTAGGATTTTTGCATCTGAGGCTTTATTAGAACCATTAAATATTTGGCCTCTAAGTAAACAAGACATTTTAAAAAATAAGAAAAAAGTTATCTTGGTGTAAATGATTACTTTTGGTTTAGGTCTTTTTAAGAAGATCATGTACAAAGCCAATGCATTGTACCAAATCTCTATTTGCTCCCAACAAATTTAAGCTCTTTCTCAGGTGGCTAGTTTATACCTTCATATGACATAATCAGGTAAATATATCCACATATAGTGAAAAACACATGACTTAAGCTCAATCAAAATCACCTATTTAGGTTTGATTTTTGGCATGGCAACATCACGAAGAACAACAGCAATAAAGAACATTGAGGGCCACAGGGAGTAAAAGTCCTGGAGAGGTCTGAAAACAAAATGAGCATCTCTGGAGGAACCTAAAAATAGTTCTGCACTGATGCTCCTTACCCCGCCTTTTTTTCAGCCTGAATGTTTCTGCTTGAGGATGCAGGAAAAAAACAAAAAAAAAACTTCCAAAGACATTTTTTGATGCTGCTGTTGTTTTCAAAGTTTCCCTGAAGAAGCATTATGTGAAAGGTCTTGCACTTGAGAAAGTATAAGAACCTTCCATCTGCACTCTGCTGTATTTATTGATTATGAAAGTTCTTATTTTCCATCCAGAGAACATTCCGCTTGGCATGAGTAATTTTTTCTAAGTTGTGCTGCAAATGAAAACACATTTGAGTCCCAAAGAGACAATTTCAACCAAAAAAAATTTTTTTTTTTTATAATTACATGAATTTATTTATTAGATGAATAAAAAAACAAATGAGCAATGAAAAAAACAAACATTACTTGTCTTTTCTCTTTTAATTAATTATGGTTGCTAGAATTTAAAATTATGTTGTAGTTAAAACAAAATATTTTTTCATATCAACATTTTTTAGGACATTTCTAATGTTAATAAAGAGTTATAGCCAAAGCTTGTATCAGAAAGTGATACTTTGTGGTTAATGAGGAAACCCTTTTTTTATATAAGAAATAATAATAAAAAAAATGCATTTATAGATTTTTAAATCAAAATGAAGTCAGTAAATTCCCTTTTTATCATCGATGGAGGTTTTGTATGTTTTCATTGTATCATGAAAACAATCTATAATCTTGCATTAGATGATGTCATATCACTTCTCTCTGTGTTTCTCCAGCCCTTCTTTATGCCACCATCTTTGGTAACGTGACCACCATCTTCCAGCAGATGTATGCCAACACTAATCGTTACCACGAAATGCTCAACAGTGTCCGGGACTTCCTGAAACTCTACCAGGTCCCCAAAGGCTTGAGTGAAAGAGTAATGGATTACATCGCCTCTACCTGGTCCATGTCACGGGGTATTGACACAGAAAAGGTAGGTTCGAATGTTACTGATATTCTCTATGTATTTTATTCAAAATATAATATAATTATGTCTTTTGGAGGATATCAAGGTAATATTATTACTCAGAAAGCAAATAAAATGTAATGCCTAATGTTTTCTCTGCAAAAGTAACAACATGCAGTCAGTTAATTGTGAGGAAATAGCTTCAAAAGCCAACAACCCCACCCTCATATTAATACATTCCCTCTTTTGTTAACAGGGGTTTAAGTTATTTAAAATGAATCAATCTCAACATTTCTCCTGGATAAAAAATAAAGCCTAGTTATTGACAGATCAGCTTCGCAGGATCCAGCATTGTCATGAAATATGTTTATAAATGAAATCCATTCGTAACCAGTGACATTTTTTCCACAGATCTTTCACAGAGAGAATAACTGAACACTCTGGAGGCATTAGTCCGATTAATAGTGGCCCATATTACTGACAGAATGTGAATGGTGGCCAAAATGCAAATGAGATAATTCATGATATATTTCTTGATACCTCATCTAGCAAATCAAAAGGGTCTGGACAAGGCAGCAATTGCTTTCCCTGATCTTTTATCATTTTTGGAAGAAAGTTATACCAGTAATTCTGTCTGACGCAAAGCAAATCTGATTACATTACTCCCGATTCTGTAAGATTTACCCTTATATCTATTTTTCCCTACAAGGAAGCAAAAAGTAAGTGTAAGAAAAATATTCTTAATTTTACTCTGTGCATATTTGATCCTTTTGAGTGACATTCATAAACCACTGTATAATTTAGTAATAAAAAAAGAACACACTGCTGAGTTGCATAAAATGCATTAACATAATATATTTATTTGAAAAGTAAACAGCAACAAATGTTAAGAGATAAATAAGAGAAAGGTAAAAAAACAAAACTTTTTCTCTCTTTCAATCCTCAAAAATCTGATAAGAACTGATGAAAACTTTGCACAACATGCTGCAGGCAGTCAGGCTGCAGGCGGTCAGCCTTCCTCCTCACAAACTGTAAAAAACAACCTTTCAAGGATTGTTTTTAAGTGAAATCCAACTTTAATCTCTTCAGCACATAACCTACAAAAATTGTGTGTATTCCCACTATAGGATATAATCTGGTCTCCATGCAACAAACAGCCTCGTATCAATTATAACTTTCTTTAGTCAGTCACTTTAATATCATTGACCTTTAGTATCTATGGATTCGGTCATTATCTCTTTCCATTAAGCAGGTTCATTGTTTATGAATAAATAGGTTAAGGTCTCTCTTTAGCCCTCTGTAACTATTTATTTTAACTGACAGGGATAACAAATAAAAATGTTGTTATCAAATTTGAAGCTAATCTGTTGGAGTTTTAGGTCAGTTGGCTCTTTTTGATTCTTTTTGAGTGTTTTATTACAATGCCTCAGTTTTCTGATCTTTTACAGCTGTTCCACATCTGGCATTCACTCACCTGTGTAGCAGGTGATACTGTTCCATACTGTTCTTCCTGGCTTATCAAATCAGATTTTTTCTGTTTTTTTTTTTTTTATGTGCTCCTGCTATCCTCATCTCTGCATTTGGTTCCAAACAATACCAAAATAATGAAAAACTGCTTATTTTTTTGTAATTTTTGATTCATAATTTCTTATATTGACTTAGGCATTTATTGCAACAGTTTATTATATTAGAGGCATTTTTAGCCAAAGTTTTAAGTTGTAACAAATGCTCCAAGCGTAGAGAACCCGCATTTTATTTTACCAGGAGCTTATAGTTTGCCTTAATGTGTTCCTCTATCAAACTACAAACTTGGGATGAGCTCTAAATAAATATTTTCAATTACATTAGAATAAAAAAGATCCTCAGCAGTGTTATTAATATACCCATTCGTTTTTTTGTGGATTTACAAACTTTTCATATAACGTTTTAAAACAGTGTCTGCTTAGATTTCTGATTTTTGTCATGATTTTATCTAAATAACTGACCCACATGCAGAAGACCAAACAGACAGACCAGGGGAAAGTTTAACAGGTTTTATTGAGAGTAGGTGGAGAGGAGTCCAGTGCTGCTCTGAACACTGTCGAACCGGGACTGAAAAGTGAAGGGGAAGATTCTGCGGTTAGTTCAGGCTCAGTGGGAAATTTGTGTCTTTGATTTGAAGAAGGAAATTAAGGCAACAGGACTCACGTTTCCGGAAAAAGGTGTCTCTTGTTGAATCCAGTCGGTGTGGGTTGTTCCAGTGAATGACTTGCTCCTTGAAGGGCGGACAGGGTTTACCCAGGTTGCGGTGTTTCCTTGAGGAATGGAGGAGCTGACTGCCACTTAGTTTTCCTGCGGTATTTGAACGGTTTCCTGTGGAGATGAATCCCCTGCTCAGAGAGAAGCCCAAACAGTTCTTGGGGGAAAGTAGACCCAAACCACTAGCTTGAATCCTCAGCTCAGTTTGATGCTCAGAGAATCCTTCCAGGGGGGAGAAGGTCCAAAACATCCAGTTTGCAGGAAGACTTCCTGCCGAGAGGCAAAGACAAAAACAGCAAGGTTAAAACTCAGGTTGACAAAATCTCAGTTTGACTCAGCAAAACTCAGCTTGGCTAGAGTACCCAAAACTGGCAAACACACTGATGTCGAGGTAGTGGCAGTCAGCAGCTTAAGAGTCCTCCGGTAATGAGGTAACCATCCGCAGGTGTGTGAGGAGGCCAACGAGAACCAACAATTGTCCTGGTATTTCTCTTAAACTAGACATGATATCTTCCTTTTTAATATATTTAAACCTGCTTCATGTTGTCAGATGATGAAATATTTCTGTTGCAAATAGAAAGCAGAAAGCAAACATCTACTTAACCCCCCCCACCCCAACCCCCACCCCCAAGAATATTCACTTTATGCAGCTAAAACTATCAACCATGGCAGTGATTAACTTACTTTTCTTTTAAGAGGCAAGTTAAAAAAGAGACAGTGGTGGAATTATTGATCTGCATCCAGCAGTTAGATAGAAGACTGTGGATAACTACTGTGGACCAAACATTCACTGGTAAGGATCCATTGGTAATAATGTAAACATCTGTTAAACAATTTTTTAAAAGGCATACTTACTAGAGTTCCTGAGAGTGTTTACTGGTAAATGTAAGAGCATATTCAACTATGCAATGTCAGGTCCATTATTCAATCAAAACAACTTTAAAGCTTCAGGAAAATACATCACCGATACTGTTAGAAAGAATGGGTTTGATTTACAGAGGTCTCAGGTCAGGGGTAATGGGAAAGGGTCAATGGGCTTTGGGTCAGCTTTATCTTGTTTTATGGTGATACAGATAAAATGGTGATACAGTTAAAAAAAAGGAAGAGAAACAGTGGATGAGGAGGCCAATCTTCCAAGCCTACAGTATAGGTTGTGTTTAACAGCCTGATCAGCACGGTTCTTATCATATCAAAAAAGAAAGTCATGTCTGGTTTGAAAAAAGGGTGTTTTGAAAAAAAATGAAGCAAGGTGGCTACGAAAAAGAACCCATTTATATATATTTATCATTTTGTTCTAATTACAAACCTAAAGATAGCAAATAGATAATAAAATAAAAATTTCATTATCACTCAAAGCTTGATCAACACAAATTTAGGGCCTCAAAGATGTGTATTAAGACCAACTGGGATCCAGTAATAAAGATTTTGATTTGCATTTTGACTTTTTAATCATATTTGGCTTATATATATATGGAATATTGGAAAAAAAAAACCAAAAAAAAACATTGACACTACAATTGTGTGCTGTCAAGTTATAATAGTCCTACCAAATACATTTTTGTATGTTGGTGAAAAAATAACTAGTAACTATCTTTTTTTGATATATATTTAGTTGTATTCCAAAATTGTTAAATTAAGAACATTAGGAATCCATCTCCAAATGTCCTAAAAGATGCCACAGGGCTTTATGTTGAGGATTTTTTTCTCATATGCTTATTTCTCCTCTACCTTCCCTAGACTCAGGAAAAAAAACTATAAACTACACCTTTTTTTCAATTTCTAGTTCCAAAGATATTTGTCAGTTTTATGTTATACTTGCACTCTTATTTTTACTGTATACATATCTATAATAGCAATATCTTTCTATAGGGTTTCATTAAGGTGTTTGTGTATGTTAATATCAGA